CTCTAATTGGACTAAATCTAATTGTTAGTCTCAAGCAGAGTACATGTACTGAATCAATGAGGAGATCTGAAGAAAATGTTTATATACAAGTGTGACTGATTCAATAGGTCCACTCTTGCCGGGGACTCAATACTGAACATACGCCATATTAGCTAATTCCAGTTAAATCTATATTGTACTCAAAGAAGTCATTTTCTAATGTACTAAAAAGCAAGCTTATGCACTAGATTTTATTTGTTTAAAATTGGCAGGGGCATTTTCACTCATTTTGTTCTACTGAAGAAAAACCACTACATAACACTCATGTTCAGCGTTGAATCTGAAAGCCATTTTTTTACCTGCTGGCCCTTGTTTGCAAGAGTATCAATCTCTAAAGTCATACAGAAGTAACAGGCAAAAACAGAGGAGTATGTTTATCATAAAATGACACCAGCAAAGTGATGCTTGACAAGCCTGAAGCACATGCATATCTGAAACTTTTGTACTAGCGATTACACCAGGGGTAGGGCAGGATGCAACCAGTGTGCTGCAGTGGAGAGTGGTGGACTAGGATTCAGGATACCTGGGGTCAAATCCTCATTTAGCTATGGAAAAATCACCAGGGAGAGGGGATGATACTGATAAAACTACTCCTTAAATACCTATCAGGATTACTGTAAGGCGATCCCAGCTTGACAGAGGGAAGACAATAAACCCACATAACTTTCACACATGGCCCCTCCAGATATTGCACTTTCTCTTCTATCGGCCTTAGTCAATATAACTTATGATTTGGGATGGTAGGAGTTGTAATCCAATAACATTTGAAGGGCCTTATGGTCTACATGGCAACTCTATCTATTCACAACTCTAAATGATACAATGGACAGTACTCTACTGCCAGTCCCAACTAGACTAGACTCATTGACTCAATAAGATTTACATATGCATTGACATACCATGGCATAATTGATTGAAATGATTTTACTTTCTTACTGAGACTAGCATTAGGATACTGACTTTATTTTGCATTTATGGTAGTGATGCCTCATTACAACACCACAGAGGTCAACCCAGAAGCAGACAGTCTGAGATGAAGTGAGTGATATTCTGTTAGAGTTCTGTCATCTATTCATTTACAGTACTTGAACTCAAATAGCACCAATTTCCAGAGTAGCTTCTTGACATATAACTGTTTCTATGGGATATCCACCCTCTGAGATATGGAAAGGAAGTGAATTCACCACTTCTGAGAGCAGCTCCATATCAACTGTGGCCACAGAATCTCAGGCTTCAATATGTTGAACACTGAAATATAATAGATATTTCTTCTACAAACCACTGGCTTACATACTGTAGCTCTTGTACTGTTAATACACATGCAATGGGAATACACATACCTAAAACCAAGTGATGCTCTTTCTAATGGAGAAGCTATCTTTTGGCTTTGCTACTCCTCCTACATTCTACTTCCAGAACAGCTGATGCAGGAAGGGATGACAAACAGCTTCTTTGCAAAGGTATCTATAACTGCTAAGGAACTGGAGATGGGGAGAGGGTGTAACAGCAGCAGGAAAGGTAAAGACCGCTGCAGTTCTACAAAGCTCTATGGGAACAAGCACCACTGAATTCAATGGGACCTCTTTGGGGCACTCATTCAAAACAGGCATTGTGTTTGGGATGAAACAAATTTTGGGGTGAAACAAAATCTACCCTTCAAGAAATTTTTGAAATAGTGAGATCACACAATGAAGAGGCAAAATTATTCATGAAGCAGTTGAAGAACTATAGTCAACAGAAGATAAGGAATAATGAACAAGGAAATGATGTATGATGGATGATGTAATCAAAAGAGGGGTTGGAGGAAATTAGAAGAGAAAACCTAGGAGATTTCATTCTAACACTGGAGCCAAGGAGAGTTTTAGGTGTGCTAAGGGAAGATAAGGGGAGAGACTCAGCAGGTCTAATTAAAAACAGCCTGGAAAATCTATTGGAGACAGATCAAATACCTGTATGTAAAATGTTCCCAGGTGACACCAGGCATGGCAGAATTTTTAGAGAGATAGAAAGAAGAATTGGGAAAAGACAAATAAAAGAAGAAGTTACTTAGAAAGATGAAAAAGAAAAAAATATTAAGGTGGCCTTCAACGTTGAAAGCATGTATATACCTAACTTCTGGAATTGTAAGGGGGCATATCCTATATATCAGAAAAGAGAATTAAACTGAAACAAGGGATCACTAGTCAGGATAAAGGCATAACATGGTGGTTCTTAAGGTAAATTGAAGCTAGATATAAGGATGAGGTAGAAGAGATAGTACTTAATGAACATACATTAGATATGATATTGACATAGACATGATAGAAAATGTAGAGATAGAAATGGTTAAATAATTATATAAATAAAATCTGTATAAGACGCTTTAAAGAACATCTATTATGTGTTAGGAACCTATTCAGTTATTTCTGGTATAAAATACAAAGTTCGTTGGTTAAATCACCTAAAAATTATATAAATTTGAAACCAGAATTACTTTTATTAGGTATGCTATTAGAGGATTTTGAGAACATTGTATACTATGACAGCAATATTATGATAGTAGACAATATTGTACACTAAAATACACACATGAATGATTTAAACATTTAAAAAATGTATGGATTTTGAAGGGACATCTAAGACACCAAGATGCAAAAAACAAATAACTATAAGTAACCCATGCAACATGATGTTTAACAAGCACGAACTGAACGTAGATAGATTGAAAAACTAATAAAATGTGTGTTTTTTAAAAAGACAGGCGCTGTCACCAAAATATCAGCTGCAGTCTCTTCATCATTGTGCCATAATGATGTCTCACACGTGAGGGAACTGGTTGCTCTGTGCTGGAGTGAAGGCTATAAACCCACAAAAACTCCTGGTGGGGGAGAAACACTGACTCGTACAAGCCATGCATGCTTGAGACATAAAGAAATCAATGGAGGCAAACCTGTGACTCCACAAGCAGTTTTCAGGGTAAACCCTTTCTTTCCTTCTGTGTCAACCACTTGTGACTCTTCCCACAATCCCTGACTATGTGCAAGTGGCCATCGGCATCTGGGAGAATTCTCTCCCCTGGCAAAATGACACTCTCACTGGCCGCGGAAGGGGATAATAGGGCATTGCTCAAATTCAGATGGTCTTATAAAGGAGCTAAACCACTTCCTTGTTTCTTAGGAAAGGCAAATAATTGTTTCTGAACAAATTCAACATTAAGTCCTCTTATGTTAGAGTGTTTCCAGTTTCACTGCTTCTCATATTCAACTTTGTTGACTGGTGTTTTATTTGTAACGATAATATTTTAATCTGTGTTCATATTTTATGCTTGATTTACTGTTAGCGACCTTGAGAGTCACATGGATTGTAAAGGAGGGTAAATACATGCATATACACTATACAGAAATGTAGGCCTATCCACTAACCAGATAATTTGTCAAATTCACATGTTTTCACTTCATGTTAAGCTCTTAAGTCTACAACAATGTACAAGAAAGTTTGTATCATTCCCTTTCTTCCCAATATACCTAATTGTAGGAGGATGAATAATAAAATTCTCCTTGCCATGCTGCTGGATATTACAGATCACAGGTTTACTATATAGTTATATGCATACCATGGGAAATCATAAATGAATACATGGTTGCTTGGGTTAAATGCAGTTTCAGGTTCTGAGATAACACTTTCTTTACTGTTCAGCCCTCTCCCCCTTGTGTCCACACACAGCAAGGTTATTTTCCCATCACTGCCCTTTGTATTGGGACTGGCCTCTCCCACCATTCTTTACGGGTAGACCAAATATCACACTACTATGTTTGAACCAGAACTTACAGATCTATCACAAAATATGTTTGGGCCATGCCCTGAGCTGATCATCTGGATAAACCCTAATGACTCTAATTATCGTAGGAGTTATAATCCTCACTCAGGATAAGAATCTGACAGAGAGCAGACATAGTTAATTAGCAATGGATTCCCATCACTGATCCATGTTGCTTATGACACATCATCTCATTCTTGCCCTTGGCTTTAAAAAAAAAAAGCCAGGACATTTTGTATATTAAAGGCAGCTCACACACTCACACACCTAACACAGAAAGAAAGGCCATAGCCTCTATGTCTCTCCTCCATAGTAACTGCCCCTAAACCAACCCCAGATATCAGTTTATAACAGGCAGATGGATGAAGTGTAAGCATAACCTTAGGTGCATTAAGAGAAGAGATGGATGAAGCACCACAAAGCAGCATTGACTTCATAACACAAGCAAGCTGGAAGGCAGATTGACTGAGAGAAAATTAACATTCCTGAGGCTGCTATTTGTCATGCTCCACAAGATACAGTGATCCAAGTCAAGCAAAATATGTTGGTCAGCATAAACGAGAGCAACAATCTTTACATCTTTAAATATTGTTGACTTAACCAAGGATCCATAATCTCTCATTATTTAGTAAAGCTAGGAAAAATCTATAGGTATATATACTGTATACATCCCACTAAAGGTTGTTGCATGTTTTACAAATCTCAGATTCACTAATTATCATGGCCCTATTTTCTTTGAGAATTAAGCTCAGAAGTTACTCTTCCAATACCTACAGTGTAGGCCATCATTCAGGAAGCTCCTGGTGCTTATACAGGATACCACAAAATTTTGACAGCAGTGTGTAGCACAAGTTTATTGCAAACCTGACATAAAGGGAACAAGAATTTCTATATTTCTATAACCTTACTGGAGCTGGGGGCGGGAAATAAAACGAGACATTTCTGTGTAACTTGCAAGCCCACACATTTCAGTGTTGACTGACTGATTTGTTACCATTAGCAAGCTGGGCCAATCCACACACTTTCCAGAATCAAAGATGTGTTACTTAGCTACAACAAATAAAATTATTAATATTGTCAAAGGAGATAGATTAATAGATATTCCTGTAGGGAACAATCCAAATAATTGTGATGGCCTGCCTTACATATGCCTAATATGCCTTACGTGAAAGGGAAGCTCATTTCATGGATTCAAATGGGGCCTTGTTTTATCATCACTCATCTGGATGCCATGTTCATCTGGATGCCTCACCAAACCTGTCTTACCAACAGAAAAATAATAACAGATACAAGGCATATTATTGTTATATTCTAGAAACGTAAGTTGATTCCTCTTTCAAAACCAGTCATATATGTTTTAACAATATCTCATCTGTACCATTTTTAAAAATGGTACAGATGAGATATTGTTAAAACATATATACAGTAATTGCAGAAACACAGACACACCATAGCAAAAGCAGAATTTTTTTTAAACCACCAAGGGAACAGTAGTACATCTTCCTTCCCCTTAGATGCAGCATGACCTCCACCGAAAGTCTAAAACACGGCCTCTGACTTTATTTATCATCCCATTTTACAGTTTGATCCAGTCCGTGTGGAAGAGGATTGGCAAAAAGGTCATATTTACAATCCTAGGCCCACAGTGAGATTTTAGAATACAAGCCCCTGCATGTCTGTTCAAAAGAAATCCCAGGAAATTCAGCTGGGCTTTTTTGCAGGCAAGTGCACTGAGGAGTGTAGCATTGAACAGGTAGGGAGGAAAAGAAAAGGAAAACATACCAATAAGAGGGAGGGAGGACCACAAAACCACCCACCAGCCCAGCATCACTATAATTGGGCAATTCGAAATGGCTTTAAATGCCCCCCCCCCCAGGTCTTCTTTCCGTGTATCTGCGCCTCCATCAAAGGGGAACATCGGATCCCCTCTTTTCTGGGAAGATTTCGAGGTTGCTAAGAGCCCGGTCGTCGTCTCTAGGAGGAAATGGCTTGCCAGCTTACCTGATAGCAAGGGAGGGACAAATCACAGCACAGCATCCATCCAGCAGGATCGGGCAAAGCCCCTTCCTCCGGCAACCAGGGTCCAGGTTTCCTGACCACAACGCTTTGCAGCTGTCTCTTCACTCCGATCCCTGAATTCTCAGTGAGGAAGAAGAAGGGGGGGGGGAATAAAGGGGGAAAAAAACCCCACACAGAGACCTTTCCAGAAACCTCGTTGCTCCTGCCTCCGCTTCCTGTTCTCAGCCTCACTCTATGGTACCCAACATATATCAGAAAACAGCTCATTAGGAGGTGGGGAGGGAGAGGGAGAGAAAAGGAGAAAGTGTATGTGTTGGGGGGGGGGGAGAGAGAGGCAGCACCTAACATGGCAGCTCCACCTACTGGTAAAGAGCACGAATAGAGGAGAAGAACCGGTTTTTAAAAGCCTGGTATCTGAACCAACAGCTTCATAGCTGTGTTCCCTCCCGGCAAACCCAGGCGGGCACACTCACACGACTGCGAAGGGAACACGACGAGAGAGATGCTGGAGAGTCCCTCCTAAAAGAGAGATGGGCTGCAACTACATCTCTCTCACCCCAGGCTCCCTCCATCTTTTCTCGACTTGCCCTTGCCCCTGAGATGGCTTCTCTGCTTCGGAAACAGACAATAAAACAGGGGAACAGGAAACTAGGCCGCACGTGCCGGAGCAGCCTCGCTGGGTGTTGGTGTTGCCCCCCATTTCTTTGAGGGTTGTGTTTCCATCGCCCGGATCCAGCCCTGATTATTGGCAGACTATTCTGTTTGCCTCTTCCGCTTATTTAGTTTTGCATCATGGATGCAAATGCTTCTTCATATACTTGCTAATGTAATTCTTTAATGAAAGAATTTAACTTTGCGAAGTCCTCTCTGAAGTGGCTTGTAGGATGGAACATAATGCAGTACGCAAAATACACCCAATACATTAAAAAGAGGGTTAAAAAAACAAACAATCACAACAACACCGGTCATGAAGGCCAAGCCAGTACAATTATACAGAGATAACAAACTCCCAACACCGGCAATCAGCTAAAAGCTTTCTGGAGCAGCCATGTGTTGGCCAGACGCCTGAAATAATAAAATGTCAAGGTCTGGCAAATCTCCTCAGGGAGGGCATTTCACTTAGTGCCGGGACTGTACTTCACACTTAAGTAGATGAGGAAGCTCTTCTTTCTTGGCAGAGGGAGCCCTGGTTGAGGCTTAGAAGAGCGTCTAGTATTGCAGCGACTGGGCTAAGCCTGGAACTCCCTCCTCATTTAATGAAAAATCCTTTTGTGATCCTGGCTTGCCTTTGAAAGACTAAGAAAGTCTGTCTGGAGAATGTATTTTATTGGATGTGTCTTGTTTTCATCAGCTGTACTACCGTTTTGTCCTGATCTTTTCTTTTCTTGAAGAGAACATTTATTGGTGTATAGACTGGCTATTTTCACTACTTCTTTGTTCTCCTCACAGCCCCATGTCCCCTGAAGAGCTGCTTCAACAGATTGCTTTTGTTCCCCAGACCAGAGCCCTCTAAATTGTGTTTTATACTACAACTCACAGAATCCCCCAGAAGCTATGGCCATTGGCCATATTGACAGAGCGAATGTGGGATCTGTAGTCCAAAAAAGTAACTTTTCCAAGTTTTACTTTCTATTTATGGGAGGTGGCACTGAGGAAAGTGGGGAGAGGCAGTCAGCCCAAATCATCTCACTCATGCACAAGGGATACTCTGGATCCCACCCATTGTCTTTCTTACTGCTTTATTTTGGTTTGTTTCCATATCGCATTAACCCTCTTGGGCATTTTATTTTATAGAAAGGCAGAATCAAAATGCTTTTGTAGCTAAGTACATAAAATAGTTACAAGTGATAATTTAAGGTTGTATAAACGGGGAAAGAGCTGCAGGAAAGAGAGTTTATTAGATGAAGAACCTGGGGAATTGGATGTAACACAACATAATTGTTTAAAGCTGTTACATCCCAAGTAAGAATAACTGTGATGAAGTCCAGCCTCAAGGGAGAAAGGATGGAGAAGAAATAAAATATGAGATTTCTTCATCTCTCCTGTGTTGTAGAGTTCAAGGATACGAGGAACCATGGTTCATTGCTGCATTGCCTGTTAAGCCCACTCAGCCCTTAGCAACAGCCATGTAGCCTCCAATAGATGAGGGATGGAGAATATGTGTTCTTCCAGATGTTGTTAGACAGAAGCTGCTACCATCCCTCATTACCAGTGATGTGCTGGCTAGGCCTGATACAAGGTCAACAATAGTTCTATTGGATTAACCTGCTTGCTGACTATCCTTTTAGATTTTTACAACAGTCATGCAGAGTAAACAGAAGGTTTGTGGAGGAACAATTACCATAGATAGTTCCATAAGTCTTCCCTTCTGAGAGTTTCATCACTTTCAATAAAATTTAGCAATTTGCCTAAAATGGCTGCCCAACTAGGACTTTCAACCCTAGTGAAAAAAAGGACCAAGAATGTTTATCAGTAAGTCTCCTGTTCCAAATCCATCTCAAGCACAAACCGACAGGTGAAAGTAAACAGCTCTCTCTTAGATAAGCTCCTGTTGCTAGTGAGCAAAACACATGGCATAGCCCATTTTGGCTACCCCCCTTAACTTATTTTTCCCCTGCTATGAAAAAAATATGGGAAAATGGTAGGGAAAAATAGAGGGCTTCAAAGTGAACACCTATGGATACACTCTCTTGTATCAGATTCTATGAAGCAGGCAGGGCAGCTGAACAATAAAATCATTCCCAGCCATAAGCATAGCATGATCACCGTAAGAGATGAAAGCAGTGCGCATTAACAGCAGACATGTCTGAACACTGCCTGCATAAATAGAAAAGAACCTATGAAAAGCATTGGGCTTCGATACTCTACCCTCTGCTTTCTTCCTACCATACCAGATGAGTAAACCAGAATTCATATTTAGCAGATTCTGGAATTGTCGTGATGTGTTAATCATCAGCCATGGTTTAAAACAGGGATGGGTAACACATTGACTGCATTTAGCCCCCCCCCCCGGCCATTTTTAAGCCTCCTCAGGTATGCCTGAAAATTGCACTGCTGAATTTCAGTGGCAAACCAGGAAGTGACTTGAATAACTTTAAAACACCGTTTAAAAATAACCTGTACTCAGTTTCTAAACCAGCAGGCAACAGATCTTGATTGTTTACAGGCTTATTTAACAAATGGCAATTTACTTTAAACCACATTTCTAGTTTCATACATGATAATAAACCAGGAATCTGTTGAAATAAGATTCTGGCTAATTTCTATTGGTGGTCACAATAAGAATATCAGGAGAGTGCATATGAGTCCAGCACTTTTAACAGGGTATTCCCTCTCTCCAGATCCTGAAGCTGAGGCTCCAATACTTTGGCCATCTCATGAGAAGAGAAAACTCCCTGGAAAAGACCCTGATGTTAGGAAAGTATGAGGGCAAGAGGAGAAGGGGATGACAGAGGATGAGATGGTTGGACAGTGTCACTGAAGTGTCACAATATGAATTTGACCCAACTCCTGGAGGCAGTGGAAGACAGGAGGGCCTGGCATGCTCTAGTCCATGGGGTCACGAAGAATCAGACATGACTTAACAACTAAACAACAATAATTCCCTCTCTCAAACATGTAGCGCTAAAGCAGTGGTTCCCAACCTTTTTTGAGTCACAACCCCCCCCCCTTTTTATAATAGCCAAATAACCTGTTACCAGCTCCACCATATTTGCATAAAAAGGCATTTTTAATGGAGCAAATTCATCCCTTCTCAGAAAATAGAGGCTTCTTTCTCCCCCAAAGGGCCTGTTTTGCATATATACACATACATGCTAACTTTAATATCTGGCTTCAGAATAAAACATTTAATAAGGGCTACAGCCCATATAAGGGGACCCCTGACCCCCTTGGGGGTTGCAACCTCCACGTTGGGAAACAGTGTTATAGAGGGCCTCAAGGTAGCTTACGAAAGATGTAAACACACAAAAGTAAAAACAATTATAAATGTAAAAATCACATTATGAAAAGCAATTTATACCAATTATCAATATGCTAACATTATGATTAAACAACTTAAAACACATTTTAAAAAGATGAAAGATCAATTCATCTTAAAATCCTCTCCTCAGCAGTTTACATATTAAAAGCCCTCCTGAAAAGGAAGGTCTTTGTTTGCCTCTAGACAGACAAGAGGGAGATGGCCAGCCTCATCTCCAGTGGGAAGGAGTTCCAAAGCCTGTGTATGTATTGTTTGCAATTTGGAAATTCAGTCTTTGTAAAGTTTATTGTGTTTGCTGTATTCATTGAGAAAATGTAGTGTTTGTTTAGAAAATAGAACTGATAGAATGGTACGCTAATGTTTTGCCCATCAAAATGGAAGAAATGGAAAGAAAAGGGCTTTGGCAGAAATACTGGACCATAGTCCAACTAGTAACTCATCTAACTTTGATCCATTTGTTCTCATGTATCTGGGAGGCAGGTAATTTCAGACTTACTTCTTTAAAACTCACTATTCGTCAGACGCTTTTGTGGACTCTGGCCCACTTCTTCAGATGCAGGAAACAGGCTCACGTTCTCAAAAGCTTATGCCAGATAAAACTCTTACAAGCGCTACAAGATTCTTTTGTTTTTATTGCAACCAATTAACAAGTCTATCTCCTTTGAAATGAGATAGACTTGTTCACTGCAATGAAATACATATCAGCACAAGATATGTATTTCTTACACAGCTGAGCATCTATAGAAGTCTGCCACACACTGCAAGGAACACTAGCCTGCCTGATAGATCGTCTAAGTCCATCTGTTACGAGAGATGGTAATGGCACAAAAATCCAGGTACTCCACAGCTAATATCCAAACAGCAGTCCTGGTGACCAACATCTAGGCTAAGTGAAGCATACTACTCATTTCTACTCATAGAACCTTCTGGGATCCTCCTCCTTTTTCTTCTCTCTTACAGGGCAATTGTATGTGAGTATTTAATGGGGATTACTCATTAATAAAGATGTGTTGGATTTTAGCCTTACTTTTTACTTTGTGAAAACATGGCCCTAAAATGCAGCCTATAAATATGTCACATAAATAAAAGCTCCCTTATTAGATGAAGAACATGGTCCAGATATAAGTGTGCTTATCATTCCTACAACATATTTCCTCCAGCCATGTATCTCTTTTGTTATGTGAATCTCAGCAAACAGACCTGTAAGGAAGACCAGTGTTTCCATTTTAACCAACA